ATCAGTATCTATCATGAATTCTTCCAGGGATGAGTTCATAAAGGTGTGAGAAAACATTCGTCATGGGGCCAAACTTTTGTCCTATCACAAGGTAGAACTCATGCTTGGAGAAGCGCACTTTGGTCTTGCCTATGACAAACTAAAACAAATGCTCCATTGTGCTAAGATCATTGATTATGCACAACATGATGTTCTACAGGAGATCGATGCAAAAGAAGTCTTGTGGATATACATTCGCCTCATCATACTCCCTGCCACATGGAGCATGTTGCTTATATCCTGTAGGTGTGACTAATTATAATGGGTGTTAATGGCGATGTGGAAGGCCCATTTGTCCCTTTGAACAAAAATGATGCTTCAAGGTTCTCGTGCTCTATGAAAACCCTCTGCAACATAAAAACAGTAATAAACATGTAAGCTACATGCCATTAACAATAATGTTGTTACATGCTATGTAGAACAAGTTAAATGTTGTTACATGCCATGCGTATATTGTCTCCATATGTTAGATGCCATTTTAACAACATTCGACCCAAATGGGCATGGTTGTCTAACATTTCTAGAGACTTCCCTTTTTTTTTTTGAAAGATAAAGATATTATTAAACAAACAAGGAAATGAATGGTCCTTGTACAAAAACAACCAAAGTATAGCAACAATAGGTAACAGGGTCAACAAAATGAGCTAACCACAGGATGAGAAATCACAATAGAAAGAACCAACCTAGCCATGAAACAAAAACAAAACCGCAAGAAAATACCTTGCTAAAAACAACCAAGAGCATAAATCTAGAAGAACAAGAAAAAAATCAGCAACAAGAGAGACAAAGATTCAATTTGAAGAAACAACAAGCCACAAAGAAGAAAATTCAAAAAGCGAAACACCCTCCTTAGCCAAGCAATCAACAATGCTATTTCCAAACACATGAAAAAGCAGCAAAATGAACATTTAACAAAATCAACAACTTCAAACAACATTATATGCCATTTAACAAAATAATCAACAAAAAATAGCATTCAAACATCAAAACCCACGCCATTTAACTACATTGTCAAGCAATGTAGCGTCCAAACAATAAAACCCAAAAAACTCAACATTGACTGACTTACGTTACTCTGAACTTGTTCGAACACTTTACTAGCTTTAGGTTTAGGGTTTAGGAAAATACCTAACGTTTAGGGTTTAGGAAAATAAAAAAGGAAAGGAAAAATCTTGTCGTGTAATATAATTAGTGTGTAATGTTGTTGTGCGCTTAAATATGAGGAGGTTTCATGAAGAGTAATTTTATCTGAAACTCTTTTCTCTTAGATAAAAATAGTTAAAATGGTGTGTAGCAAATTTTTTTGAGCATGACATGCAACAATAACATTTTTTCAACATAATGTGTAACAACATTTTTTTTTAAAATGATGTGCAGCAAAATTTTTTTAAGCATGGCATGTATTAACAATATTTTTCAATATGACATGTAATAATTTTTTTTTTAACATAGCATGTAATAAAATTATTTCAATACGACGTGTAGTAACATTTTTTGTCAACATGACGTGCAGCAAAATTTTAGAACACATGCACTGGAATATGAGAAGGTTTTATGAAGAGTAATTTTATCTCAAAATCTTTTCTCCTTGTCAATAATTAAAATTATCGAAAGGGCTATTTTTCAGAACACCTTATTTTGAGGATTATTTTTAAATTTTGTCTTAGTTTTTTCAATGATATAACACAAATATTTTATTGGTTGGGAAAAAAAATATAGTAGTAAACTATGCATATATTTATGATGTAGAATTCATATAAAATAAATGAAGGGTGTACTTTACATGATTAAACTTTAGAAAAATATTAATATTTTAATTTAAATGTTAGAGAAACAAAACCAAATACAGACCGAAACATACGTCTATAGGGAAAAAATAAAAAGTCGATCACGCATTCTAAGCCATATTCCAAAGACAGAATACAACCACCACCAGCATATCAACAGTTGTCCTGAATCTAATTATTAATTAATTTATATGTCTTTAAAATGATAAGAGAGAGAGAGAACTAACAAATGAAATAGACATTAGAGTTGACATCCGAATTAACAAACTATCTCGAAACTGCCCAGAAGTTGAGTTGATAAGTGACTGAAGTGATACAACAAAATTTGAAGTTATATTTTCTTCTAAACGACCGACCTAAAGACAATGACGGGATCAAGTTATATTTTCTTCTAAACCAACTATCTTTACTTTTCCTTTCTCAGCTCTACAAGTTTTCTCATAAATCATAATATATTATAAGTCAATTTCTCCCTTTATTAAATATTATTATCCATCTAAAACGCAAAAAGTATAACTAAGGTGTTGAAATAGAAATTCCAAAAGAATATTTATAATATAAGTCCCTATTGCTCATTCCCTGTTAACTTGTAGAAAGGCACTTTGGTTTCCAATAAATTTTAGCTAGTCAGCAGCAAAGAATAATTTTAATTTCATCCTCATCACGAGGGAGCAGAGCGACACGGTTGCCTTCGTGATTGACTGACCAGAATTAAGAAAAGAAGAAGCTTGGCTTTGATAGTTTATCTTAAGAAATTTCCTTCAAGTAATCTAGTATCCAATTAATTTCCCCCTATTATGGCCCAAGAAAAAAGGGAAATTGGATTTCATAAATGTAATTTAACTTTTTCTGGTTAAATGATCAAATATTTTTAGTTTTGTCAGCTTTGGTTTTTATCGCAATGAGTGATTTAAAATTTACTTTTTGAATATGTAATTACTGAAATAAATATTTCAATGTAAATTTTTTTTTTTAGCATTAAGGGAATAAACAATGACATACTACTGCAGCTTTCATTGAGCAAATTAAACTTGTGATGTTTTCTTTGATTTCTCTTTTGAATAGTTAAAGCGATTCGAGTGAATGACATTTTGAAAAGTAGTACTTAATAATTATGTTTTCCATCATTGCTTGGAATAACTCATTCACTCACTGCAGGTTCGTAAAAAGGATCCAAAAAGGTGGGAACAAGGAAAGCAAGATTCAACCATACTACGGTTTGATAACACTTTTTATTCGCCAGATCAAGAAAACCCATTTCAAATCACTTTTCTTGTCTCTGTTGAGCTTTCACTTATTATTTAACAATAAAAACAGCAATGACCATAAAGATGCTTTCCATTCACGTAAGAGACCAGGACTCGTTGTGTTGAATCTCTAAGCCCGACATTTAAAAAAAAAATGCAACAAGATACTTTATTAATAAAGGGCAAAGGTTCACTCCAACACTGAATCCACCTTTTGACACCCTCATTCTATGTAAGCTGTCAAACTATGAGTTCAAGACTCTAAACATCCCAAATACAAACAAAAAGAAATTACAACTACTCAATAAAATCCAAATTTCTGCAAACTCTTTGTTTAGCATGATTATCTGCCATGTAATTAATTTCTCTATTAAAGTTTATATTTGATGCACTGATGATGTGTAACTTCTATACACTATCAAACCATCAAATTTCATCATGTTTATACCAATTTGGCGATTTACCAGCCACACTTCCTTCAAACTCCATATTACCTTTTTATCCTCCCCAAGATTCATGAAGCCAAATTTTCATCCTTTTAATTTTTTTTTCCCCATGAGAGATAAATACATCAAGCACTCATGGAATTTACCAAAGATTTTGTGAAGCCACTACCAATTTGATCTGTAACGGAAGGTTGTTGACAAAGAGAGTGATGCAATCTCTTTTTCACCGCCTTTCCCTCTTGCCATTGTTTCGATATTGAATTAATCATATCCTTCTACAAGCAGATGAAAAAGGCTGGAGTCTGATGAAGGAATAGAGATAACCAAAAATTTAATTATTAATTACATGTCTAACTTAGGTGATGTCCTCAAGTTCATATCGGAATACATTGTTCGTCTTTAAAAAATGTTTGATTTTACAAATTTCGAAAGATATGAGATATTTTGTAATTAGATAAAAAGGTTTTTCCTTCTACATAGTCAACTCATTTCGATTTTCCATTTGAGTAAAGAATTCTGTTTAGTTTGGTTAGATTAACGGTAAACGATATTAAAGAAAAATCCTTTTGGCGCAAAGAGAACCTATAAGTAAAAGACGCAAATGATTAAAAAGAAAAAATTGAAATGGGAAATCTAGAATACGCGCTTGCTTAGTGGAAGAGCAAGAGGCTTTGCAAAGAGTTGAAAACGATAGTAGCTACATTATTAAGTATAATTTTCTTTACCTCCCTCGTTGCCAAGAATTTAAAAGTCAACATTCAATAAGGCTGTTTTTTTTTCCCTTTTTTTTGGGGGGGGTGGGGGTTGTGGGAGGGGGATGTTTAGTTTTTTGAATTGACCAGAAAACACTTTGATTTGCGATGCTTTATAGATTAATTTTTAAAAAATTATTTATCCGATTGATATACAACTACAGGTTCAAGACGAAGGTTCCTAGTCGTATATCATCATTGATTGTTTTTAATTTTTTTTTGTAACCTTTCATTGTTGTATAAATTTCATTAGCTCCATTGTATAGTAGGACTCAAGACCTCTAATTAGATGAAGTCTCTCAGATTTTACCTGTTGGTGTATCGCTTTAGAGACGCTTGCATCTTGACTATTTCTTCATTCTTAAGTATCCGAACGCCATTAACACTTCGTTATATTTAGTCATAGCAGAATATTCCTCTTGAAACCGCCCCGAAGTTGCTTCCATTTATAGTTTGTTTTTTTTTTAAAAAAAAGTGAAACTTTAATTACAGGATGGATTTCATTCAAATTTTCTATTTGAATTGTAAGGGAACAAAAAGAACCTTTTATGTGCAGAAAAAATATTATTCACTCAATGAAGACTTTTCACTACTCATTATTTCCTTCCTTCTTCCAAAACCAAAAGAAACGCTGAGCAGGTCAGGTCAAACATGCAGGCGCAAACTCCCTCTATATATAGTAACGTTAACTAGACCAACACCCGGTCAGAAACTTTGAAAAACTGCCCCTCGAAACGAAGAGTCCCTGCCGATGCTAAATTCCAAGTACTTCCTTCCCCTTTTTTTCGTCTTTTTCTTTTCCCTTTTCTCGATTGGCTTCATTACTGTAAAATCAGAAACTGCTGGAAACGTACGAAATGGAACCAGGGATTCGACAAGGTTGGTCTACAATGCTAGTGTAGTTCTAGATGGGAACTCAAAAATGGGTGCTATGGCAAATATATGTTTGTCCATGGCTCTTTCAGATTTTTATGCCAAGCACCCAAGTTATAATACGAGATTGTCTCTGCAAAGATGGGATTCGCTTAATGGCCTCGCTGCAGCTTCGTCAGGTAGGTTTTGTTCATATAATTTTCCATTAAAGATAAGGTAATTTCGTGTTCATTTTAATTATAAATTTCAGCAGGAGTGCAATATTTTTTGGTCCATTTTTATGATAAAAAGAATGTTAAAATAAAATAAAATAAGTCCTGTAGAATAGTAGATGAATTAATTGGTTAATTTTATCTCAGACTATTACAGTTGAATTGTGCATTAATTATTTTTAGCAACTGACAACCCAAAGTCTTATTTGCTTCATAAATTGGGTCATCAAGTCAACCAAGTTTTTCTGATTAAATGGTATTAGAGCCGATCTTGTATCTAGGAGGTCACTAATTCGATCCCATCAAAATCTTTTGGGTCTGGTGGGATTCACTTACGTGGAGACTACGATCTCACCAAAACAGGTGACCAATGTGAGGGAATTTCTCTTTTAATGTACATCTTCAAAGATACAAGTGTCTTTCAAAATCGTGAAGGGATTAGGGACACACTTCAAAGCCATCTTAAATTTAATCTTTATCAAACAATAAAAACCACCACAGAAACAGTGATCAATTATGTATGTAATTTTAATCTCTACCAAATTAAACATGCAAAAAGTTCGGTTATGGAAGAAAAAAATCAATATATTTATCTTTGGAGATCACCTTAAATTTATTTAATATAACAATAGTATGATATATATATACGTGGGATTAATGTTCAAAAGTTTTGGGCCCTTCAAACGTTCCACCCTTGGCAGCAAAAGACAAAATAGGCAATAAGTAGCAGTCCATGCCAACATGGTCCAAGCAATCAAAATGTCAAATGTTAAGCATTGAGTCAAGAGGGGCTTGCTTTTGATAAACTTGTATAGCATATAGATTTAATTTCTTTATATGTCCAGAAAATTAAAAAAAAATTCAATACTTTGGTAATCCATCTATTGTTTAAAGGATCTTAGAAGGGCAATCGTTCATAGAATATAACATATTACTTTTTAGTAAGTTCGATGTTAACTGAAAATTGTTGTTTAGTTAATTAAATATTAAAAGTTTAGATGTATATATTAGAAGTTTAAATAGATGTTGCCATTCAAGTGTGAATTCGAAAAAGTTTTTGTATCCCATGTATACCATTGAATTTTTGCAATTGTGTTTGGAATCTGGAATGCAGAATGTCTACCACAACGATCAGCTGAAGCCTCATTTGCTATAGAACTTGGAGGAAGCTCTTCTCCCTCACAAAGTCCTTGTATTATCAGAACAGCCATAGTTGACTTCTCTCGCCTAGCAAAAGCTACGGTTGCCATATTGGAAAATTTTGAATGGAACGAAGTCATACTTGTGTACGAAGACATGGAATACGGTAAAGCGATTATTCCTTATTTAACCGGTGCAATAGAAAACATGGACATTACGCTATCCTGCAAGAGTGCAATCCCCAACTCTGCCGAAGATTTTCAAATCTTAGAAGAGCTAAAAGTGCTAATGACCATGCAGAGTAAGGTTTTTGTGGTGCACATGACTACAAACCTTGCCTCTCGTTTGTTCTTTCTTGCAAACATGGCAGGAATGATGAGCGAAGGATTTGCATGGCTTGTGACAGATGGTTTGTCCAGCTTTGTAGATACCATGGGCATGGATGCTATAGCTCTTGATTCAATGAAGAGCGTCATAGGCGTAAGGCCCTACGTACCCAAAACGGAAGCTCTCAAGAACTTCGAAACGAGGTATAAAACATTATCCTTGATGAAGCAACACAACGAGGCAAGTGAGCTAAATCTCTTCGGTTTGTGGGCTTATGATACAATTTGGGCTTTAGCTATGACTGTGGAGAGAATTGGGGCAGTGAATTCTGGCTTCTTGAAGGAGACGATGAGCAAAACCTCTGCAGTCCCTCGGATTACCGAAATAGGTCCAAGGGGATTACTTGAGGAAATCTTGAGCACTAGTTTTACAGGGATCAGTGGAGATTTTGACTTGGTTAATGGGCAGTTGCATCCTTCGGCCTTTGAAATAGTTAATTTAACCGGAAAAGGCGAGGGGATAATTGGTTATTGGACTCCTAACCAAGGGATATCTAGACATGTTGCTTCAGCTAGGAACAAGCTCAAAAAAATCATTATACCTGGAGAGACCAGAAGAACACTTAATGAAAGGAGTATGCCTACGGTTAGAGACAAGTGGAGAATAGGGGTTCCAAGCAAAACAGGGTTCACAGAATTTGTGAACTTGCATCCTGGGAGCAATGACAATGAGTTACCAGGGTTCTCCATAGAGGTTTTCAAAGCCGTGTGGGAGGCCGCCTTGCCCGGTACTGAATATGAATTTAAATTTATTGACAGAACTTATGATGAGCTTTGTTGCCAAGTTAAAGAAAAGGTTAGGTCTATATCCATTCTTTTTTTCTCTAAATTAATTTCTAGAAATCATATTTGTTGAATTGCAATTTACTTATACAGAAAATCGACGCTGCTGTGGGAGATATCTCAATTGTGGCTAGCAGGGTAAATTGTGTGGATTTTACATTGCCATATTTGGAGTCAGGAGTGACCATGCTCATAAAAGTTAGCCACAATGGGCCAACAGACATGTGGATTTTCATGAAGCCTTTGAGCTGGGATCTATGGTTGACAATCATCGCGATCTGCATTTTCATAGGGATTGTTGTTCGGGTTTTAGATCGTCGTGAAAATACAGAATTCAGTGGATCACGCAGAAAGCAGCTTAGCTCAATTCTGATGTTTCCCTGCCTATCCGTGGCCGTCCCTCAGAGTAACTACCCTTTATTTCTCTATTTTCTATTTAGTGCAAATTTTTTTTTTACTTCCATGCTTATCCGCGGTGATCCACCTCTCTTTTCTTTTAGTAAAAATCAATGGTGAAATATTAATTTCAATCATACTCCTTTCACCCCATAATATTTGTTTAAATTTCAATTTACACGAAAAAGAAGAAAAGCATTGACCTTATTGCGTTTTCTAACATTAAAGTTTTTTGGGTTTTAAATGTCAGAAACTATAAAAAATCATAAAAAATAGTATACACATGAAAATTGTAAAAGAATTGAGTGATCCATATTAATAAACAAACTGCATTGTCATACATATATACATACATACATATAATTTTTTTTTTTTGAAAATTAGAATTTCATTGAAATTGCACTAGGGGAAGAGATATCACCCAGTCAAAATATTTACAAAAAGAGTCCTTGTATTTGATATCAATGCCTCTCACCCAAAACAAAGGTATAATTCCCAAACTCATGGATACGCCCCTATACCTATACTTCCAAAAACTCCTACCATCATAAAAGTCCCTGCTACATCATATACACAAACGATGACGTTGTAAAAACTCGAAAAAACAGTATGCAACGCTTGTAACTCAAAATATCACAATATAGTTGACATAAAAGGAACCATTATCCAAACAAGATAAATTCCACCAACTAGTCAAAATCCACAAAAATGTTTCAAGCATGTAAAAGACCATCAAGCTTTCAATTTGTCTAAAACCAACAATGCCGCAATCAATCTCTTTAAGATAAGGAACCACAGAGGAAGAACCAAACCTGGACACTTTGCACAAGCCATACCTATTTGTTGACAGGAAATCTCCTACACTTTCAGTTTTCTTCTTCTGTTATCCTTAGGAGTAGCCCATAGTAAGTCTTCTTTTCTAGTTGTACCTTTTTTTGCTAGGTTGTCTACAGATGTGTTGGCGTCCCTCAACATGTGTTCAACCCTCCAGTGGCTTATTTCTTGCTTCATTCTCTCAATATCAATAATCCATCTCAGAAAACCTCCAAGGAATTGTCCTAGCTTAATTCACCCATTTCACAACATTAATGGAATCACTTTCCACCACAAGCCCATGTGTTTTTCCTCATTCAATAGGTGCATAAATCAGAAAAGGTTCCCTTATTGGCAATATTTCAGCAAGATTAGAGTCCCCAATCCCTATATGTTTGGAAAAGGAAATTAAAATCTTCCCTGTTTCATCCCATAACACACCCCCAATTCTAGCTCTTCCCGGGCAACCTTTAGCTACGCCATCTACATTAATCTTTAACTATCCTTTCACTGGTTTGCACCACTCAACTCCCTTCCCTTTTCTACTTTCTTTCTTTTTTTCATCCTTTTCAATGGATAGCCTAACGACATATAAGATAGCAGGGTAATCATTAGGTCATTTGGCATTAGCCCATGTAGCCACCCTTAACCTTAGAGTTTCTCATATCTGCTCTTTCTCCCATTGTTTCCCATTTAAAGCAATTGCATTCCTAGATAACCAAACAGTCCACACAATTGCATAAAAACCTCATCCTCCAAATCTTGATTTCCCCTCCCTTTAAATTAACATCATTCCAAACTTGAAAAAGGCTCTTTATGTCACTTGGCATCACCTAAGCAGTCCCACATTCATTGCACCATATTTGCTATATCGTCTACACTTTATAACAGCCACCAAAACAAATGCTTAATACTTTCTATTTCAACATTACATATCACACAGGTTTCTGTTTCTAATGAATATAAACTCCTTCTAATAAGCTCAAACTTCATGCCATCCTCCCATGTAAAGTTTGCTAGACAAAAACCTCTATTCTACGTGGTGTTATACCTTGCCAAACATACTTCCAAACTCTTTCGCTACCTCCTTTTGAGCCATCATTGTTTTCAAAAACTCTTAGTTGAATAGGTCCCACTAGCTTCACCCCTCCATACCAATTCATCCTTAAATTCTTTACTTAACTGGAACTCATTAATAGCACTAATAAAAGCTTTCCACTATTCTTCTTCCCACCCAAGAGGTTGTCTTCTCAATTCAATTTCCCAAACCCATGCCTTTCCTGGTCTTTTCGATTATTGTCATATCTTCATTGTCACCCTTCGTGGCTATGGTGTCCTCATACCCTTTTCGATCCCTTCATCGCTTCTTTTATCCATACTCTGTTTACTTGCTATTCACTGATGAAACCAACTTTCTGGAAAGTTCCTCAGACCACAACCATTACCATTGCTCCCCTGTAAACATTTCTCTGTCTCTTCCTTTTTTAGTTCCATTAAACTTGTTCACCCTCATTAGCTTCATAAACCATCTTTTCTTTATTTCTAGAAGTTTCAACATAAGCCTTACCTTTCTTCTTTTTCCTACATCGGCCCTTATTATTACCATTGGACTTGTCTGAATTAAGTCCATTTGTTTTTTTCCTTTAGAGCTTTTTAAATTAAGCCCAAATGCCTACTAACACTCCTCTCATTGATGGGCTACCCATGTTTGTGATCAAACCCATTCTTTTCACATCTAAATGAACGACCTTTACCCATTAATTCTTCTACCCACTTAATTACTAGGCCTTGAGAGCTTTTGAAATTGGGCTCCATAAACACATTTATTTCATCACCTTCATGGCCTAACCAAAATTCCTTCATCTCATAGTTCCTTGTCAAATTTCTAGACCCATATTAATTAATGTCATCTAGACTTTTAGCTATCCTCTAACTTTGTAGCCTTTGAGCTAAGTTAGATCTCACCCTCACAAGGCCCATCTAACTTCGTGTACATGTAAAGTCCCAATTCTTCATTTTTTCGTAGCACCATTTCGCAAAGGTCTACCTCTATTAACGTCTGCCTTATACTTCGTGTCCAATTGATTTACCGTTCACCCACTATTGAAAAGACACTGAAACTCTCTCTTCCTTCTAGTTTCTTTGTGGTGACATTAAAATTTGTCTTTCCAAATCACAACATTCCAAACTAGCAACCAATGCTTTAAATTCCACCCTTTTTCAATTCACAATTATGCTTGTGAATGCTTTGATACTCTTCATATTTTCAACTTCAACCAATATCATAGTAAAGTCAAATATTTTCTTTTCTTCTATGACTTTATCAACTTATATGAATCTCCCACATGACTTAGCCATCGTTTTGAAAACCTCACTCTGCCATAAGCTCAATGAAATCTCTCCCATCTTCACCCAAACTTGAAATTTTCTATCCACATCACCCTCATACTTGTTGAAATCATCAAACCACGCATCAAATATCTCTCTATATTGACCCAACAACACCTCTATTTTATCAGCATCTGCAAAGGTGACCACCACATAAAGTCCTATTGTCGGTCAAACCTGAACTATGACACCTTCCGTAAATAGACCAAACTCGATAGCCGGACAATTACTTGATGCCCTCAAACAACCCACTGCAATTCTTGAAAGCCATTCCATTTCCATAACTAGAAAAGTTACTTTTTTTGTTTCACTCCTTTTGGTTTCTTGACCAGTTTGCTGCATTTTTTGTTTAGGTTCCTTTGGTTTCTTCTCCGTCACATTCTTACCTAGAAAGGAATCCTTAAATGACATTCTTTATGCCATTGCCTTCTTCAAACCCTTTGTCGTCTCCAGTATTCTATTCTTTTTCTCTTCACTCTTTTTGGGGTTTTTAGTTACCTTGGCATAGAGGCATTTTCCATCAACAATAATTTTGTCAATGTAATCGAAGGCTCTTCTGAGTTCTCCTTCAGATTTATACCCAACGAATGCCATCTTGGTTGGGCTCCCTTTTTTACCCCTTGGCATGAAAACGTCAAATAGTATTCCAAATCTATCGAAAGTTTCTTTTAGATGAGCCCACGTTACCCTCTGGCGAAGATTCCCTACAAAGATGGTGATAAAAGTTCTTCATCATCTGACCATTTCTCCATAGTTGACTCTTCCTTTCCTTCCCCTATTATTTGCCATCACCTTGATTCTAAAGATTTTAAAGCAATTGCATGCATACAATTTTGGGTATATGCATACATAGGGTCTCTTCTTTTTATTTTTGTTAAGTACGTCTATGATTATTTTGAATTTACTCTAAGTAAAATAAAGTAGTTAAATCTTTTCATGCAAAATTTACAAATCAACTACATTTATAATATAACAATACATAGTAATTAAAATATACATAAAAAATGGTAATAAGATTTTCATCCTTTTTACTTAAATAGATTTTTTTCCAAAGGTAATGGAATTTCATTAATGAAAAAGTGTTAATAAAGAATAAACACCAAAGAAACTCATACTAAACCTAGCAAGAGATTAATAGGAAAATAAACAAAACCTAAGTATATATATACCAACTCCCAAACAAAAAGGATTCTAAGTAAACCCAAGAACCAAAGCAAAGTCACAAGGAGATTGAATCCTTCCTTTTAAAGAAAGAAATCAGCATATAACTCACAATATATAAGTAGAGATCAAAGTAATTGAACGAAGACAAGGTTCTCTTTTTAATTTACTCATAAATTAATGTGTAGAAAAGTACATTATACATATGATTATATAGAGAAAACAAATTAAACTAAGTTTTGTTTTTTTTTTGGCAACAGGAGACATGGTGGTAACCAACTGCTCAAAGTTGGTGTTGGTCCTATGGATATTCTTGGCATTTATTTTGATTCAGAGTTACACGGCAAACCTATCATCAATATTAACAGTAAACCAATTACAGCCCACAATCCCAAGTTTGAGAGAACTGAGAAAACAATATATTGGCTATCAGAATCAGTCATTTGTAAAAGATTTCTTGATAAGCCAGTTACAGTTCAAGGAGTCTATGCTCAAGCCATATAGCTCTGTTGATGACTTTCAAGAGGCCTTGTGCAAGGGATCTGGTAATGAGGGAGTTGCTGCCATCTTTGATGAAATTCCCTATATTAAAGTCTTTCTAGCCGAATATTCTACTGGTTATATGATGGTTGGACCCACCTACAGAACTGATGGTTTAGGTTTTGTAAGTTTTCATCCTTCTCTCTGTTCCATTTGTTTCTATTTTATGTTGTATGATTATTAACATTAAGCTTATTTTTAGATATTGTTTAGTTTCCTTCACATAGGTGTCACATATCATTACGTACAGAAAAAATATGCCTGAGATAAAATCATCTTAATTATTGTTTAGATTGAATAAATAAATCTCCATGGTTCATGAATTGATTTATTTAAATAATTTCATTTTCATCCACTGCATTTAATTACAAGTTACATTTTATCTTGAACCATTTATACTAGTGTGTTGTTGTCTACTTGTCAACCTAGTTAGAAACTTTATGGAAATGTAAACATCTATCTTTAGGTGAGATTAGTTATCCCCCAGTAAACCTCTTTTTGTATACCCATAAGGGAGTTTATTCTCATTCTAATTTGTTTTTCCTTTTAATGTTTTTTTAATTTCAGGCATTGCCGATAGGCTCTCCCTTTGTTTCTAATTTTTCAAGGGCAATCCTAAATTTCACTCAAGGAAAATACATGTCTCCAATCGAGAAAAAGTATTTTGGAAAAATATCCATATATCAAGACGAGACTGGGCCAATCTCTTCGAGTAGCCCAAGTCTTTCTACAAAGAGCTTTGCAGGCCTCTTTATCATCATTGGGGTCGTTGTATTGCTAGCCTTGGTTGTCTCAGAAAACCATATTTTGGGAAGACTCATCCAAAGATATGTTTTTCATAATTCTCATGATGTCTCAGGATCAAGAGTTGAACCTACAACTGAGATGACTGGAACTAACAATCCTCAGGAAAATACCAATCAAGAAAATCATGAGTCTAACCAGATAAGTAATAGAGATGAATCTAGAGAAGAAGCTATATTGGAAGTTCACTCATCATAGCAATTAACAGTTACATACACAAGCAAACTTCAAGGCATGTTTAGACATACTGGAATCATTTTTAAAGAGAATGTATGTGTATATATGTTAATATCCCTATCCTCACCTAATATCTATTTCCACGATGTACTTTATATGTAATATAATAATACCAAGCTAGGTATAAAATGAAACTTGTGTAAGATAAAATCTTCGTTGTAAAATTATATACGATTACCCATTAGTTGATTATTTTGTGTAAACTCTACATGAATTAGACCTTTTTTCTTCTGTTAATTGGGGAAAATTTTAGTTTTTCCATCAATACCTAGTTTCTCCTCACTCCACAAAAGTGAGATACACTTCACAACCAAAGGAAAATAAAAGATAGAAATAACTAATTCATAACGGGTGTATTTACCGAAGCAAAGTCCTCGATACTTAACATTCTTGCCAAACAACTGTAAATCATTCCGAATTAACATGTAAATGGAAAAGGCTATGTTGTGAATGAATGAATGACTTAATGTAATGAACATTCAATGCACAAAACTACTACACAGAGTGTGAATGAAGAATAGAAGCATCAACAGAAGAATAACTGAAAAAAGGGATTTAAGAGAGAACCTTCCTTAACATGATTTTTTTTGCTCAAACATTCACTTTTTATTAATAAAAAAGTTTAAATAGCCTCACAGCTCATTAACTTGAATTTGTATTGCAATTTTGCATTAAAAACTAACAAATTAAGCATAACTAACACTTCTATCACACACAACCTATGTATAGAAGGTAGACATCAAATCTCTGTATGCATTGATTGCATGCACACAAAATGCCAAAGGTCTTATGCGTGCAAGGGCTCGACCATGGTCTTCCATGCAAGTCTCAATCTCAACACTCTTTCTTAAGACTTGCTTTAAAAACCCCTAGCTTGTTTCTTAACTCTTCAAATCTTTGTCTGTTGAGACTTTTGGTAAGAATGTCTACAAATTGATTATCTAAGTTACAATACTCCACATGTATTTCACCAATCTTCTAAGTGTTTATAATGGCATTTTTAGCTTTATCCTGTTTTAAAATGACAAAATTGATTGAACTAAATATACTTTGAAAATGAATGAAAGATATTTTTCAATCTGTAGAAAATTGTCAAGAATATTTTGAAGTTGTTTTAACAAAGAACGACATTTTGAAACACTAAGATTGATTGAATATGCTTTAAAAGTGAATGACAATATTCCTGAACTTGAAAATATGTTTTTAAGTTTTCTAAAAGAATTTTAGTTTTCAAACTCAAAGTGCCAACCTAAGAATTAAATTCTCAAAAGTAAAGATTTGATTCTTAAATGAGAAGAAAGCAAAATTTTTTTCTTTATCATAAGAAGAATCAACTCTAAAGATAACAAAGGTCAGTTCTTAGTAGATGAAAACAGTGAAGAATCAATTTTGAGAAACGAATAAGTTAGCTTTTGAAAAAATAAAAGCTATTGGAATTGAGAAGAATCGACACCTTAAAGAGCAAATATTGACTTTAGGAGAGCAAAATGCAGAAAGCAGAAATGTAAGAAGAAAGAATCTATTCTCTATATAGCAAAAGTCAATTTTGAGTAAAGAATAAATCAAGAGCATAAGTCTAGAAATAAAAAATCGATTTGACATAAAGAAAATATCAGTTTTTGAAGAATAAAAAACAAAAATAAGAAACTTGGTGAACTAGAAAGAGATGGTATAAATGGATAAGACTAGAGTGTTGAAAGTCAAACTAAAATTAAATTTTGGACACCAATAGTAAAGAATCGACACGTTAAGACAGAAGAATCAATTCTCTAAGAAAAAAAAGGTGTCACTTTTGAACCAAGCTAAGGAAGAGCCGACATCTCAAGAAAAAAGAATCAATTCTTCAAAAATAGAAAGTTCTAGACTTTACGAAGAATTGACAACTCATGATCAAAGAATCGATTCTCCAAGAGTAATAAAGATGTGTAAGTTGGCCAGAACGTACTACAGTTTATTCAAATTCCATTTTAATGGTAAGAAATCACAAGGCTTATAATTATCCACTTTGAGGATATTAAAAGGGCGATTTTAAGTGATCTTGAATGATTTTGAAAAGATTTTGCTGTCCCCAAAAGAGAGAATACAAGCAAGAAAGCAAAGAGCAGAAAAATCCTACCTTTGAATAAAAGCAAAACCAAAAAGATCACATTTTTATCATTTAGTTAGTACTCCTTGAGCCTAAACTTCATTTCATCATTCACCACTCTTTGAAAAGCTATCATGTCTTAGTATTCAAAATTATTATCAACGTTGTTAAAGGTCTTGAGCTATAGATTTTTTTGAATCCATTATTATATTGGTTATACCTCTACACAAAAGGTAAAAGAGTTTTGCCTAATCCTTTAAAAGGTTGTATCTTGTATAAAGGTTGTACTTGAACCTACAAATGGTAGTGTTTTGTTTAAGGTTACACTTAATCACATGAAAAGCATGTTGTGAAGGTTAGACCTAACTTTGTTAAAAGGAAAGTTATGAAGGTTACACTTGACCTTGTTGAATAGGTAAGTTGATAGTGGTTTCGAACTCCTTGTGCTTTCAAGGGAGAAGACGTAGGCATTGAAAAACCAAACCTTTATAAAAATATAGCTAAGTACTTTTATCTTTTTGTGGTTTACTTATTTAGTTCCTACCTTATTTTTGCTTCTCTATTCCTTATATTTCTACTGCATTTTCAAAGTTCTCTCAAAAAGGAGGAATTTTTAATTCATAACTAATTCACCTCCCTTTTGTAACTTTACTTTAAGCTTATCTTCTCAACAGACATGAAATTTGACATTGATATGCTTTATTTTCCCATGATACATGGAGTTTTTAGTGATTGCAATATTTGATTTATTACCCACATAGATCATAATAGGAGTATGTTGCGACATGCTGAGATCAAATAGAACTTTTCTACTTAGCAATTGCGCAAAAGCATTTGCAAAGCTTTAAGTTAAATTCAAACCACATATAGGGAGACAGAACACTTGTAGAATCCATATTACGATCAATACAATTTTACACCAAGTGATATGTGTCGACAGGCGATAGACAAATACAAGGGGTAGGCAAATGTGGTGAATCAATAAAGAAATTCAATTCTTAACAAAATCCATATGTTCTTTGTCCACAATATCCCCTCAAAAGTTCATAAACATTGGTTGAGTGATATCAGGGCTCAATTTGGCAATATGGTGGATGTCTTTATTCCCAAGAAGCGTTTGGCTAGAGGGAGATGCCTTAGATTCATTCGATTTAGTACTTTTAAAGAAGCAAGAAGGACAACATAAAGACTCAACGGTGTATGGCTACTTGATTATAAATTGACTGCAAATTTTGTAAGGTTTCATCCAAGGATTGCCTTCTGGAAGAAACATATTTTAGGAGTTAATGGTGGTGAGTGGTTCTGACTTGGTGGATAAACATGCTAAGGTGGTAAAGGAGATATCAAAGAAAAAAGAAGATACTCGGGTTTGCACAGCCTATGTGGATGATGAAATTCTCCAATAGTTTCAATTTGCAATGGTAGCTGATGGCTTAGGTAGGAATGACCAAAACCAACTATGATCCAATTGAAAGCTAAAGGGATCAAGGGTGTGGAGATTAGGAGAATCTTGGGTGACAAATTCTTGCTCTTGTTTTGAGATGTTGATTTATTGGAACACTTCAAAAAGAAAAGAATTGAGGGGAATACAATCAATGGCTATGCAAGTTTGTGGAATGGAATGAGAATATCGAAAAAGGGTAGATGTTGGTTAATGGTGTGTGGTGTTCTTATCCATACATGGAATGCTAAAATGTTTTAATCAATTACTAATTTATTTGACAACTTTGTTTGCTTGGGAGAAGAAAGTATGAAATTTTTTGCTCTTTAGAGGACTTTCATGGGGATTAATTCATGTGTTAGGGAGAAAATTGATGAAGTCATTATGTTGAAAGTAAGAAAGAAGGCTTTTAAGATTTATCTGCATAATTTTTCCTTGAATTTGCTATAGAGTTTCTCGTTCCTATTCAAGCAACAGAGTGGGTGAACAAGTCAAACTATAGTCTTGAATCTATAGCTTATGGTAGAGATGATTGGTTGGATTCAATCAAACCATGTGCCCAACCTGAGATTGATTTAATAGTAGTAGATAAGTCACAAGTGGAGCTTTTGGGGGCAGTCAAAAATGGTAGAACCCGACACCCATCTCAGGTTATCAAATTGGATGATAATGGTGAAGCATCCATGGGCTGTGCAATGGCCCTGGATCGTCCAAGACAAGATATTATGTTAGGAGTGACCTTTGAACAATGGAGATGGTCTCAAATTGAAGAGTGTGACAATGTGTCCTCAAAGGAAGTTATGAGTGGGCCATTACCTTTAGTCGAGGATGTGGTCTCGAGTCGCATTGGAATGGACAATATGGTTCATGGTTCATCTAGGTTTGAGTCAAAAGACATGATCATGAGGAACAGGAAAGAGATGTCTTACATGGATATTTTAAGGAAGAAAGCTTCAGTGGCCTTGGCATTTTGTAGTGGTTCAGAGCGGGGAAAACAAGTTATGATTGTGAATGTTGAGAGCACTCCAAGTTTTGTGAAGTTAGCATTTACAATGAATCCCACAAGAATTTTAGTGTCAGATTGCAAGAATTTGAGAATACTTTTATATCACTGACGCTGAGTAAAATGAGAAGCATAAGCCTGATTAAAGAAAGATTTAATGAGAAGAAAGGGAAAATTCAGAAAAAGTGGAAAGGGATTAAAGAGGAAGAATAAGAAGGGGAAAGGTTAGAAAATTTTTGGAAGCCCTAAAGGAAAGCAATCGGGTTCCAATGGGCAGGTTGTAAATGCCTTATTTTTGAATGGCGATTAGAAATAGAAATGCCATTATCCGTAGGGAAGCTGGAGATACGAAAAATGGCTGTGCAATTTGGGATTGAGCTTGAGAGATTGGATAGTGGTTTTTTAGTACAAGCTAGGAAGGTGAGAGTGTTTTTCAAATTTTGTGATGTCTTTGGAATTAAGCTTTTGCATGCAACTCTAATTTCAGCTTGGCTTTCGTGCAGCTATGCGGTGGTGCTTTCTATGTCTTTTACGGTTGTAGGGGAGACGTTAAGTTTTAATTATAGCGCATGATGCTTTGAGTAGCTTTTGGTGATCTGTGGGGTTATCGGCTTTCTTCAGGTCATCTGCTCGTC